TCCAGTGATTTCGTGGACCCAGTTATAGGGACTCATACAAATTCCATTGAAGGATTTTGGGGTCGACTGAATGATAGAATAAGGGCTATAAATGGATCTCAAAAGGATCTCATTTATAGTCATTTAGATGAACATATGTATAGAATGTGGTGCGACTTCTCTATTGACAGTGCCATGATGAATTGGGAAATTTTTCTCTCCCATGTTCGAGAAACATACCCATTGTAACCGTTTTATCATTTTCTTTATGCATTTTTCTACAAATATACGTTTCCGCTTATCATAAACGCCTCTTTCATGTGATTGGTCCGTTCAAGGTCGTTTGCTGATTGGTTGTTACTGGTGTCGAAAGTTTAACTTTGCCGTGGAAAGGGAAGGTTGGGCATGCGGCGAACACTGCTACCGAAATTTCAGAGCTTTAGCTTGAAGACCTGTGTTCCACTGGGAACGTAAAGGAATAAAAAATTATAATGAGCCTATTAAAGTCTAGATCAATTAACCCTCATAGGATTAGAAATTTAAAAAATATCTCAGCTGTAGTAGTACATGCAAATACAGACAACCATACAACTCTATGGAATAATATAATAACCCGAAAATTTAACGTAATAAAGTGGAGAGAGAGAGACAGAGAAAAACAACAGAAGCTTCAGCTATCGAATCCATCGAAAATAAGCGCAGTATGAATTTTTCAACACCTGTCCTGTCGGACCTCTGGAAAATGCCACTACGCATACGACCAATAGGAAGGAGTGAAGAAAACTAGAAAGATCAAGTCTGGAAGCTGAGCAGTTATATCTGATGTGCTCATGAACAATAAATTGTGTTCAAAACTTTATCCAGTAAATAGTACTGCTTCACTGTATGTTTTATCCGGTAAAAAAATTATTGTGGTAGTAGAAGCGTTATTGTTGTTTTAATGCTAGGCTCATGTTGGGCATTCCCCCTATTCCAGGGATAGTGACGAATAGATCAGGTTAGGAAATGCATCTACCCAGAGTAGAGCCCTAAATTCCTACTTAGATGGTGGGCATTTCGTTGTCTGACTAGTGACATACCAAAGGAACTAGTTGTATGACGTGATCTTTTTCTATAACTTCACTTTCAGTTTTTACTCATTATAGATGCACCATGACTTACTGTTATGTCAGCTATTTCATGCTCTTCTTTTGGAGCAGACTTTCATCAGTGTCCGCCTTCGTTCTATAATGAAGACCAACTAACCCGCCAGAAAAGGTAACTAACAACGTACTGGGATGACGAGCCAGCCAACAAACTAACTTTTATCCAAGACTTAATGCAGCAATAAACAATGATGGACAGAATATGCACTGAGGATATCACATATTAACAGGCCAACCATAGACATCGGGTTATGCGTCGGCTGGGGATCGAACCCCGGACCATATGCATGGTCGGCGAGAGTCCTAACCACTGCGCCACCGACGCACCATGCACATGGTCCGGGTTCGATCCTCTGCCGACACACACCTGCTATCTATGGTCAGCCTGCAAAATTTGGGCTACCGATATCACATGCTGAAAATATCACATCTTAGGCAGGTAGGCGGGCTGTAGATTTTAACTAGAACAGAGAGCGTCAGACTGGTCGTGAGTTTGAGGATGACGGGTTGTACAGCATATGCAGAGGAAACGAATGATTGTGGACGATCATGGACCCAGCTAACTTCTGTCCATTCGAGATATATATTACACCACTGTTAATCAATGCCAACGATGAAAATAAACTTTGAACCAACCTTACTGTTATAATAAAGGTATTTTATATATCCCAATGAATGAAAAACAAAACGGTATTGTTTGCACTGACGTTTCGCTATTTAATGCTAATGGCTTTTTCTATAGTTTGGTTTGTAAGGGTTAGTTATGTTTTACGAGTTGATCACGGATTGATATCAGTTAGAATTTACAAAATCTCAGCATAAATATAACAAAGAGTTGAAGGATGAGAAAATAGGTTTAGTTAAAAGGACATATTGAAAGTCAAAATAACAATGAAGATCACTAAACCAAATAACAAAGGTAATAGTACCTCTATTATGATATCAAAACAAAGTTTACTAATTTAATTGGTGGATGGTGACTAGCAGTGGAATCCAGGATGCGCATTTCGTCAGCCTGAGACAGAGCACCTTGGTGCAATCAATCGACGGGAAAATCTAAAATTCAGTTAAAGTTTACTAACTTGATCATCGTTCGTCAGTCTAGGGGCATTTTTCGTTGTCAAGTTGGTCAACTGGTAAAGATAACAAAATCAAGTGTATATTGTTGTCGTACTGTCAGACCCTCTGCACCCTCTTTATTCACAACTATCCCTTTGTATCTCATCAGGTAGGACGAGAAGTCAATATAAGAAATTATACGCTCGTACCACTAAGTACAAAAATTCTACAATACCGTATTTAGTCCGTATTTTATGTGATGAAGACTCTGTTAGACGTGAAACATATAAGTTACTATGTAATTAGCATAGTGAATCGACCCTTTCATTGTTCATCTTTCTGTAGTTTTATTGTGTCACCCTTTCTATCGTTTAATTATAACTTTGCTATTTTTATTTTAGTTGTTGTTACTATTATTACTATAATTTTATACTTTATGCGTATTTTTCTCCTTATCGTATACTGTAATTGCTACATAGCTCCTATAAAAACGTTTTGTTATCATTATTATGTATTAATTATTTCGTTTATCTATTTTTTGTTGTTGTCGTTTTTGAGTAAATTAGATGCAATTTTGTACTGAATGCTGAAAATTCCTTGCTGTATCATTAATACTGTTTTTGGAATAAAGCAAAAATTATTATTATTATTGATCAGTGTATAAAATTATAAAAGCAGTGTGTGTTTACATAGTGAACTTGCATATCACATTCGTGTTGATTTTGTCACTTCATGGGGGAGGGACGTTTTGTAACAAGGTCAGATTCTGTTTCAGTCCATCATTCCTATTCAGACAATTTGGATTCCACTTGATATGAAGTGCTTCTGATGATATTAGACGTTCTTTGTGACTTCTGAAGTTTTTCTGGATTATTTCAATATTGTTAAAATCAATTTTGTGACCTGATTCTATAGCGTGTAGACCTATGGCTGATGATTTTTCGAGTTTTTCCAGTTCAATTGGATTTCTCGGTGGTCAGACAGATGCTCTACTGTGTTCATTTCTTCTGATTTTGATTTCTCGTGATGTTTGTCCTATGTATATCGCATCACACTTAAAGCAAGCATATTATTTTATAGACACAATTAGATAGGGAATCTTTAGAGATTTTGGTCTTTTATGTGGATAAGGTTGTTTCGTAGTGTGTCTGATGTTTTGAAGAAAACTCTAATGTCGAGCTGATTGAGTACTCTTCTGGTATGATGATCAAGTTAGTATACTTTGTTTTGATATCATAACAGATGTTTTATTACCTTTGTTATTTGGTTTAGTCATCTTCATTGTTATTTTAACTTTCAATATGTCCTTTTAACTTGACCTAAGTCTATTTTCTCACCCCTAACTGTTTGTTATATATATGCTGAGATTTTGTAAATTCCGGTTTAGTAATACTTTGATAGAGCTATTAGCACTAAATAGCGAAACATCAGTAGAAGCAACAATATGGTTTTGTTTTTCATTCATTGGGAAATACAAAAACCTTTATTATACTAAATATCACATACCTAATGCCGAAATTTTTTCAGACTATTAAAAGTGAACTTGGTTTGGACATATATAAATTCAGTCAATTCAGTCAATTTTCTCTGAATCTGAAAATTTGACCACCACCATAACATTACTTATAGTGGAGTTATTCACCGTGAATAGGAGCTCTTGAAATTCGAGCTCTTTGTCGGAATTCATTTCCGTTGTTACAATTATTATTATTATAATTGTTATTATCCCATCAAGTTTCGAGTGAACCATAGCCCTGGAACAGCATATCTCTACTTCATTCTGTTCTCTTGACTCTTCTTTAGCTGACTTCATGACTGCCTACAAGCTTTCACTTTCTCTGCACACGATTTACTCCATGCCACCATGGAAGTCATAACCAAGCTATCACATTATGTTCGAGTTCAACTCTACAACCTGCCTACCTGTCTGTCTATGTGCCATGTGATGTCCTCAGTGTGTATTCAACCTACTGCCATTTCCTGCTGCATACTTGTTGGTGTGAAAGGCTGTTGGCTGGTTCGATATATGAGTTTACTGTTACTTGTCCCTTCTGGTGGACCAGCTGATCTGTATCATAAAGCGAAGGTAGATGTTGATGAAGGCCTTGCAGCAGGTGGTTATAAATTCTTTTGGTGAGTGGGCCATCAGATATCTGAACACATACAGTTTTGTTTCTTGTGCAAAGTGTAGTGGATCCCAACACTTATTTCAAAATAATGCACACGCTTCTAAATTTTCTGATACTTTCTGGCTCTGAGGGCATAATCTGTGGATGAAACGATCCTTTAGGTTTCTTCTGATGTCAGTGACTGGTATTACTTGTTGGTTTGCCAGGTATATTCCTCAGCTTGTCTGCTCTCTGTTCACCTGAAGTCTCTTTTTGGCTGCCTCTTCCACCAACTTGTTAATTTGCTCTTGTGGGTCAGGAAGTTCATTGGAAACAAGATATCAATCGCTTATGAAATCTAGGACTCCTAAGGCTTTTTTATCAGTCTAACTTATGATTTACTACAAAGACGACTCCTTAGGTAAGAAATTTACGCAAACTGATTATTTACGTAAACCTTAGATGCGAAGAAATTGAAAATAATTAACATATTTTTATTTCAAAAGTTTTAGCTATAAATAATTATAGTAACCCGGTTACTGCGTACTGCCAGTGAGTCCCAAACTGGAACGAAACGGCTACCCAGTACTCCTTAGTTTTAAATGGTTCTCTAACTGATATCATGCCATGGTGAAATTTGAAAAACAACTCTTCAGTCACTTGATTTAAAAGATAACTTATCTAAAGGGACACTGTACATAAAACTTACACAGAGAAGTGTGTACTGAAGTCGGTGAAGTCGACAATACTCTGCTTATCATTTAAACTCAATTGTCCACTTGGAATATGATACCAGTCTTCATTGGATAACATTTGGCGATAATCATGATACAACTTGGGTTTCTTTTGAAAGTCATTATCTTTATTGAGAGCTGATGCTTTCATGGTTGGCGATAATGACAGAGATGATGAAGAAGTAGATGAAGAGGAGAGGGAGGAGGATGTGAACGTTGAACTTGGCTCTAGTTTATAATAGAATTTACTTGGTAAACCTGGAACCAGATTGCGAAAACTGTCAGGAAGGAAGGGGAGAAAAGGCAAAAAAAAAACAAGCAAAATTAAAGCAACAAATATCAGAAGTAACCATATGATTTGGCTATCAGAAAATAATGTTTGTATACGCTAGTGTGCATACTAGACTGACCGATTTTCATGACTCATTTTATAATTAGAGGGCATTGTTAGCCATTATCACACAGTGCCGTCTTGTATGTATTACTCATTTTCAAGACTACGTAATTTTTTTTTATTCCTTCACATTCCCAATGGAACATAGGGCTTCAAGCTAATGGCTTGAAGTTTCTGTAGCAGTGTTTATTTTTACAGGATGGGATTGCTAGCCTCATGTCCAACCTTTCCCCTTCACCAGCTTGCAGTTCTGGCTTAGCGAGGTAAAGGGAGTGTGCAAGCCGGGAATCGAACCCCGGACCATATGCATGGTCGGCGAGCGTCCTAACCGCTATACCACCGACGATAGACTACGTAACACAATGATAAAAAGTAGCCGAAACCAGTTTAAATAGACCCGGACCAGAAAAAGAAACAGGCTTAACCCAATTTGGACAAATTAGGCAGTTGAGGTGAGGCAGAATAATTGTCATAACACGACCAGACAACCTACAGACCCGACCTTATCGAACCAATATAATTGGTTCTTTGTTGGTTTTAACTTACCGAGGAACATAATATTTGCGTATAATGTGTTTTCGTAAATTAAAGTTCTCTGTGGGCTACATGTGTTAGGAATGATAATAGCTTTATTCTGTTTATAAAGTGTACAGAATTATCAGCAGAATTTATTACAGGCTGGATTCAGGAGAAACAAGTCATGCATTGATCAGATCGCCACATTACGGATCATCATTGAACAAAACTTGGAATGGCAGTCACCTCTCTATCTCAACTTCATCGACTTTGAAAAGGCCTTCGACAGCGTCGATCGAGAGGTGATTTGGCAACTACTTCGCTACTACTGGGTGCCACCGACAGTTATACATTTCATCCAACAGTTGTACGACAATGCTGCATGCCAAGTAATCCACAACGGGAAACTTACGGAATACTTCGAAGTGAGGACAGGAGTAAGACAAGCTAGCTGGCTGGCTGCCTACTATCGCCAATGATCTTCCTGATTGCAGTAGATTGGATAATGGGACCAAGAGCGGACAATGAGGAAACATGCATAAAATGGACTCACACAAAAAACCAAATTGGAGGATCTGGACTTCGCCGATGATATATGTCTGATTTCCAACAAACTGGAAGATATGCAAGCGAAAAGCAACAAGTTGGCAGAAAAAGCATCAAAGACGAGAAGGACTTCAAGTGAACATAGAGAAAACAGAGGTGATGAAGATTCCTGGGCAACGCCACCAACAGCAACAACAACAACAGACAACGATCAGCATAAATTGGAGGAACCTGAAAGAAACAACCTCCTTTACCTACCCACCTCGGAAGCATCGTTTCAACTACAGGCACACGGAACTGACGAGGAAATGAAAGCAGCGAGGATCGGAAAAGCAACACAAGCTTTCACTACTCTCAAGTCTGTGTGCAGGAGGTCAACAGCCCTACTCAGCATCAAAACGAAGATAAGATCCGGATTTTCAACTCCAATGTGAAGTCAGTCGCATTATACGGATCAGAGACTTGCACCGAGCGTCATAAACAGCATCTCAAACAAACTACAGACATTCATTAACAGTTGTCTTCGCTCAATACCACTCAAGATCAGATGGCCGGCCAGAAAAGATCAGCAACAGAGAGGGATCTCTGGCAATGAGCGAACCAACTAAGCAGGAACCGATTGTGAAACAAATAGGCAGGCAGGAAGAAATGGAGATGGATTGGCTGGCCATACTCTGAGGAAACAAACCATTGAGTGAGTGACATCACTAGACAAGCCATTGCTCGAGTGGAACCCGACTGAATGGGAATCGGCGAGTTGGTCGTCAGTGCGATGTTGGGGTGACTTGGAGGAGGTGATGTGAAGAGGAGATGAAAGCGTGTGGGCAGGCCTGGAGCCAGGTGAAGGAAGACTCTAGCAGGGAACCGATCGCAATGGAGACGCGTAGCTGAAGCCCTATGTTCCTCTAGAAATTAAAGTGAACAATAATAATAATATTATCTTCTTTCGACATCTTCAAGTAAAGTAGTAACTGATTACATATAGCATGATGCAGTGTTGTCTGACTTGAAGCACAAACCAGTCTCCCACAATATTCCTTCCTTATCTCCTTAGAGAAATGAACGAAATTCCATTGAAAGCCAAATGAAATGAAAATGTGCAAGAGTATATTTTGCAGTCCGAAGACATCATTGAATGACTGAGACCACAGGTAACTCGTTTTATTTCCCATCGATAGGGGGGGAGGGTTTGCCCTGAAAATGTCAGAAAAAGTTATCTCATATATTGGGATAAGCTGCCACCCAAATCATGCTTCCTCTCAAGTTTTATAGGAACTTGCGAATAAACAGGCTGTAGACCATGCAATTAAAGGCCATATTTTCACAGATTAAAAGAGTGTGAACACATAAAAACGAGATACAGTTTCATGACGATGGTTTCTGGTAGCAGGTCGCCGTGATCAGTATCAAAATCGAATCCACAAATCAGTCGTATTAATATATCACCACCAACACAACACATAGAAACATTAGTCAAGTTGAGATTAAAACAAAATTAAGTTAGCGAATTGAATGACGTCGCATAGCTGACATAACCCAGTAGATTTAAACGAAAACTGAAGGAAGGTCATGTCAGCATAAATCTTATTAGAGATAATATCATTCTGAAGCTGCAAAGTCATTCATATGAATATTCATATGAATGAATAGCTCTACTCTCACTTTTATTCCTCACTCAAGCTCAGAGGTGCTCTCGAGTTTGACAGAACGAACAGTTTCATGACGAACGTCCTAGGTACCTAGTCCCATTAGATCAGGTGAACATAAAAATACACATAAAACTGTTACCTCCACTAACTAGGTCCATATGCATTTATATATTTTTACTCGCTGCTGTTGAGAGAAACATATCCCATGTGCGTTCAAGAGCATCTCCGAGCTTGACTGAGAAAAAGAGAATGTGGATTCATTTTTTACTCATCTACACTGCAGCATTTAGCAAGTGATGATGACCATACAGCTTATGATGCATATTTTAACATGGTCTACAAGATCAGATAAAAATTACGTGTGGCCTTCCTGCTGCACTGAAATAAACTACTTCTATTATTATTATTATTATTGTATCCTTTAATTCCTAGAGGAATATAGGGATTCAGCCGTGCACCTCCATTGAGTTCGGTTCTCTGCTAGAGTCTTCACCTGGCTCCAAGTCTGCCCACACGTTTTTATCTCCTCTTCACATGACCTCCTCCAAGTCACCCTAGGACGACCAACTAGCAAACTACTTCTATAGATCTTACAAAAATTCGGATTTTCAATACAAACGTCAGGTCACTTCTTCTATACGGATCAGAAATGTGGCATGTCACAAAGAATATTTCCAACAGCCTGTTGCAGACCTATATCAACAACTAACTGTCTTCGCTGGCTCTATACTCAAGACCAGATGGCCGGAAAGAACAAGAACCAACAAGAAACAAACTATGGGAAGAAATAAAACAAGAATCAACCAATCGCTCAACAAATATGCAGGAGAAAGTGGAGATGGATTGGACACTCACTCGCTGAGGAGGCCACTCGCTGGGTGACATCGCGCATCAGGCCAACGCTCGAGTGGAACCCGAAAGGGAAGCGGCCGCGAGTGGGACGTCAGTGCAAGGGTGACATGGAGGAGATCGTTTGAAGAGGAGTTGGAACAGTATGGACTAACATGGATGCAAGTGAATAGTACAGCAGAAGACAGAAGCAAGTGGAGACGTGCAGTTGAAGCCTTATGTTCCACTAGGAACCCAAGGGAACAATAATAATAATTGTAGATCTTACAGCTCAGTAGACTAGTGGATAATTCCTTGACCTTCAAAAATGATGAATAAATGCTCTAAAGTCTTAGTGAGGAAGTATGACTCAGTGAAATGCAAGTAGATTCAGATGACGAGTCCATAATTGGATGAAACTCCCTGTAGTTTCATTGATTCCACTGAGCGTGTCTTTACTAGGTCGACAATAGCTACGGAATAGCTACGAAATCAAAATAGGAACTGTGAATTAATCAAACAGACAGTAGAATATATATATATATATACCAGTTAAATAATTTTTCATGCATATATATTCTCTTAATTAATTAAAAAAAAGTATTCCATGGAGAAAGCCGAGGATGAAATCCGATTACATAATCGAGAAAAAAGAACGAAACAAACAATCAGACAAGCACAGAGACATTCAACAATCTGTCTGTTACATGATTAATGACAAGACTAATCAAAGTTGTATACACTGACTGAGGGAAACAAAAGAAAAGGATAAAAGATTCATCAGTCTGGTTGGTTATTTGGCTGGTTAGTTAGTTGGTTGGTTAGTCCCACACAAATGAGTAAATGAACAGTCTAGGAGTAGCGAGACAGCAGGACAGAGAGAGCGAGTGAGAGAGGGAGAGCGGAAGAGGTAGGTTGGTAGGTAGAGAGTGTTATTCTGAGCTTCGTTAATCTTCATTAAGCCATCAATCCATTCAGGGCTAAAAGCTCTTCAGTTTTTTCTCTAAAAACAAATGTTGCTTTCTTCTGGCTTTAATTACAACAGTCTATGTGTGTGTGTTGGTTTCTGTTACTCCTAAGAGCTTTTGATAGTGATTATCAGCTCTCTTTTTTCCATTGTGTTTCATTTAATTTTTTACGCTTGAATTATTTGTTCTTTTCGTATTTATTTAATTAACTCAAGAACAAGAACAGTGACGAGAACAAGCACATAAATCAATTTGAGCTTTTAGCTTTTTTGTTACTTTAACTCAAATCACGTTTATTCCTTTGTACCACTAAAATCTCTACGTGTAGTGTATTTTGAGTGATATAACGCGAAGGCGGGGGAGGGGGGCCGGAAAGC